AACCAACCAACCAACCAACCAACCACCGAACGACCACCAACCACCAACCACCAACGACCACCCGCCGCCACCGCCACCGCCACCGCCACCGCCACCGCCACCGCCATCGCCACCGCCATCGCCATCGCCATCGGCATCGCCATCGCCATCGCCATCGCCATCGCCGCCGCCACCATTGTCACCGTCACTGTCACCGCCACGCCACCACCATGACCACCATCACCACCTTCATCGCGGCCACCGCCATCTTCATCACCACCACCGTCTCCACCACAACTATGACTAAAACCACCACCACCACCACCATCAGCACCACCACCTTCACCACTATCACCGCCATCATGGCCACCATCACCACCATCACTACCATCACTGCCACCACCATTATCACAATCACCACCCGCACCACCGCCGCCGCCAGCATCATCACCAGCATCATCACCACCTTCATCTCCCATCACCACGATTACCAGCTTCATCACCACCATCATGTCTCTGTGGAAACCAACACGTCTACTGTAGATCTCCAGACCTTCTGTTTCTACACCTCTAGACCTTTGGACGTCTATTGGCGGATATATTATTTGGAAACTAATGCTGGACCTCCAGCACGTATATGCATATGTTTCAGGCTGCGCAAATCCTGTATTTGTGCATCTTCCAGTGCAAGGAAGAACCATTCATATTATATTAGGATGCAATAAACCAAACCTCATCACCACAGAAGGTCTGTGAGGCAAGTCATGACCTCGGCATCATTAGCCTCAGGCTTGGCTTGCTCCTTATTTGAGCGGCTTTCCAAGGCTGGATGCTCAGCACCGTCAACCCCGGTTGATATTGTTCCGTCAGTCAGAAGCTAACCTTCTTGAGTGAGTCCTACGCGAAGAGGAGGGATCAGTATCAGCTGCAGTGCTAAAGGACTTGGTCCTCCCAAAGCCTTGACCAGCTCAGGCAGCTGATTGGCTCCCAAATGAAGAGGAACCTACCCGACAGCAGGCAGTCGAATTAGATACATCAACACTTTAATAATAACATATTCATATTATTGTTGTCCCCCGAAGGTACAACTCCCTTTTCCCACAAAGATGCCGCGATTCAAAAGAGGGATCAACATGTGGCTCGAAGCTAGCCACAGAGCAGCTATAGGCTATAAGAATTACTCCTGCACGCTCTTCTTTTTGCATGCGCACGGTTTGCCATGGTGAGGAAACAAAAGGTCAAGGAGTCTAAGGAATCCAAGAAGACTGAACACTTTGAAGATCTTCTTGGCGATGGCCCTGAAGAGCAAGAGTTGTCGGTGTCAAAGAAACTTGGATCAAAGGGCGGTCAGAAGCCAGCAAATTTTCCACGAAGGATGATCAGAGGCCACCGCACGGAAGTGACTAGTGACCTTTATACTAGTATTTCAAACCTATCCAACTGTTTGTTTGTAGTGCTGCTCCAGGAAATATGCAAAAAAGTACAACGAGAAGATGGACAAGATTGAGGCGGCTCGAGCCGCAAAGCTCCTCGGACGTGCCATGATTTGTATACATTGAATGCTTTCCACGTCGTCGTGCAGAACGATTTCTCAGGTTCAGATTCTCTCTCTATATATATACTGTACTGTATATATATATATATATATATTTGCTTTGATCTCAACTAATAACTGCACAACATATCAAAGTTCACTAAACATGTTTGGAACGAAGATAATGCCAAGGCTCCATTTGTCAGAGCAAAGCGCGCTTAATTGTACCTGGTTTTTCAATGTAACATGCGCAACGAAGGATCTTGGCAGATGAAGATATTGCTAGCAATAGTTCTGAAGAGTCCACCGAAGATGAGAACGCGGACTTGCTGACTGGGAAAGTCGAAACAAAGATTTTCGATACTTTGTCAAGGATCAAGGCCAAAGATCCAAGTATCTATGATGCTTGCCCTGTAGAGGAGGAACACTTTTGATCGTTCCTTGATTGTTTCTTCTCATACTCTGCTTGGAAGCTGCTTTTAAGTCTATACATCGGCACCAAGGACAGCAAAACGACCTTCTTTACTGATGATGACTTCAAGGCGGAGGCTGCTTCCAAAGGAAATCAAAAGAAAAGCGAAGAGAAGTCGACGTACAAGAATTTTATTCGGAAAACACTGATGCAAGAGGGTGCTGATGCCATTGCGCGAGAAGAAGAGGAGATGGAGAGCAAGAAGAAAAAGAAAAACAAGAAGACACCTGCTGAAGAACAAAGAGATCTTCAAGCGGAAATCCGTGCCGCTGCAAATTCTGCCGAAACTGATGATCAAGACCTTTTTTCCATCAAAGAGCAGACTGCTGAAGAAACTTTACCGTACCGTTAGAAGCTTGTTGATTTGCAGTTTGACTAGTTGCCTACTAAAATTCTTTGTCCCAAGTTCTGCATGGTCCACAAGTCTCATAGCTGCCAAGGAAAGGGAACAGCAGGATGAAGAATTTGCGCGCTTCCAAGCAAAGTCAGAGCGAAGAGCTGACAACGCAGATTCAGTGATGTCGAACTACTGGCGTGCTGATGAAGACCTGGATGAAGATGAACAATTTCTGCGCGACTATGTGATGAACCGTCAATGGCTTGAGACCGATTCCTTGTGACTTGAATTCATGTAATTCCATTCTATGTTTCTTTTCTTTGCATGTTTTTTTGCTGACTCATACGGGCAGCAAGGCAGCCTGCTTCAACCAAAGACGCATTGGACATGGATCTTGACGAGGAGCAAGATGATGACCATTTGGACGAGGCAGATGAATTTGAAAAGGACTACAACTTTCGTTTTGAGGTGGAAGAGGGAAGGCCAGGGGTGCGAAGAAATTCGGCATTTGTCAAGTGTTTCTTAGTATTCCCGTCATGTCGTGAGTTCCTGATTCTTTAATATTCAGTTGGCCGATATTCACCAAAGAAACCCATCGAGTTCCAACAACATGTTTCTGCTGGCTTGGACAATCCACTGCACGTGCAAATCTTTTGTGACCAAACCTCAGGTAAGACAACTTGCAAAACTGTCGTGCATTTAAGGCACTGACTCACCGATGCCAGAGGTAGTTAGTGTTTGTGTGTGTAACCCTTGGAATCATAGGGAGCATTTTGGCCTTTTTTAGAACGCAGGGGAGTGGTGCGCAGTCTTGGAGTCACCACTCAAGGAAGACACTCCTCGCACTGCGATGATATTTGGAGGGGAGGCCTTCTGGACGTACCTGCTTAGTTGTGGCGCTTCTAGACACGTACTGTACCATTCCAAATCCAGGCTGCGGCTGGTTAGGTGGAGGTAGGTCGGCAGTCATCTTTTGTGTTTCGTGCGTTTTGAGCTAGCCTTGGAGATACTGTAGTTGAAAACCTTTGGACACTTTTGTTGGACTTGGAACTTTTTGATGTTTGGACCTCGTTACATATGATACGTTTAGGCCTTTCACTTAGTTTGGCTTCTTCAGGGACTTGCAATCAAATGGAATGTATATATTTATCTTGAGTGTGTGTTTGCGTGTGTGTGGGAAACATTGACCTTTGAACTTCCCAAACAGTGGCCAGCGTTCGCCAACAAAAGTACATTGTTCTATATAACCGTTGCTTTACTTTTCTTACATTCAGCATTGTTTGCGTCTTGACAATGTAAACAGACTCATAGATTTTGTGCCATATTATTTACCCTGCAGGCAGATCCAGGGTCATGCACGCTTCCCTGAGAATTCCGTGCGCGAGAGAAATGACAAAAGGAAGAGACAGCGGAAAGAAAAAGCAGAGAGGAAAGACGCCGAAAAGATCCGACGGACAGAAGAGTTAAAGAGATCTTCAATTTGGTTAATCGTGATGCTTTCTTATGTAACATTAATTTGGATTCCCCCAAAAAGGAGACGTGACTCCGCTACCACGCATCCAGTGAAACGCCAAGTTGAATAAATCCGAATACTGGAACAGTTGGGCACAGATTGGTCCAACCATTCAGTCAGAGCGGTTTTTTTTTCGGTGTTAGGTTGAAAACTGAAACCGGGAGTTTGTTTCTTGTTGTTGAGTGGAGAATGATTGTGAGCCAGCCGACCAAGGATTAAAGAATCTCAAAAAGCAGGAGATTCAGCGACGGCTTGAACAGATTCGTGAGATCACAGGACGATCAGGGCGCCGTTTTGCGGGGTGAGTATTATGAACATGACTTGAGAGTCTCTCAGTAAATGCATTGTATCACATGGATCCAACTGCGCTGCATTATTAATTATTGTTCTATTATTTTTTGGACATGCACTTTCAGCCATTGCACTGCTTGTGGTGAATGAAGCAGACCAGCCAACCTTTCTGCAAAGCTCATGTCATTCCAGCTTTTCCACCGTTGCTGATCGTTTTGCATCTCCAGTGCGGCCAAACTCGTTCATTCTCTTAATATTATCATTGAATGCTTTAGGGGTGCTATCTAAAGGGCCTGTGCTGGTCTATTGGGATCTGCGTTGGGGCGTTGCCTGGCAACCAGAAACCAAATTGGCAGGAAATGAAGATACAGGCCTCGAGTCTACTGACCTTGATAAAGACTTTGATCCTCAGAAGCATGATGAGACTATGGCCCAAGTTTTGGGTGAGGACAGGTCACGGCATGTCAAAAACATGCTAAACATGCTATGTTTGTTCAGCACCGCTGGACTGATTTATCGACATGTGGTATTCATGTGGGGGTTGTAAGATGTTGTAAGGAATGCTATACATTGCAAAGCCTGTCTTGTTCAACGCTTCCTTGCGATTGAAGCAGCTGAGAGATGAGAGCAATGCACCTGAAAGGACTATGATGAGAAAGAAGAGGTCTTATCATCCAAGGAACTTGTTCGGGGACACAGCGGGTATACAGATCTTGATGTATCAAGCGCTGCTGCGGAAGGTTTGCAGAAACATTGGGGTGTTAGTCCTGAACAGCAGGAGGACGGCGAGCAAGATGATGGATACAGAAATGAAGAGGTTGAAGATGGTACAAAAGAAGAAGAGGAAGAACATCCGGACCTTTGGTTTTTATGTGATGGATGCAAGCTGCCGATCCCAGGAGGAAAGAGACGCTTTGACTGTGCGGTCTGTGAGAACTTTACATTATGTATTAAATGCTTTCGCATTCGTCGCCATCCGCATAAATTCATTCGACGACGGGTCCCAGAAAGTTGCACACCACCAGAGGACTTCAAAGGAATGCAGTTCGGAACTGGTGACGGGGACAAGTCTTTGGATGAATACTTCCAGCTCGACTATGAGGACATTATTGGTGGAGACTTGCCGACCAGATTCAAGTATCGGAAAGTTGAGCCGAACGACTATGGCATTCCGGCACATGTGATTTTGTCGAAAACCGGCAAAGAGCTGAACCAAATGGTTTCTTTGAAGAAACTTCGGCCATATCGAGAGGATGAGGAGGGATACCAATCCAGCAAAAAGCGAAAGAAGGAAGGCAAGGGGCAAGAAGGTAAGGGACGAGGAAAGGGAAGCAGCAGAGGTCGTGGGAAGGGGGACGGAGGAGACAAGGTGCATGCCAAGAAGGGCTCAAAGAAGGATCGGAATGAGAAAGGTTTCTCCACTGGCATTTAATGAGCATATCCATCTTCAAAGTTTTCTTCTATCCAATCCAATCCACATTAATACCCTCTTGATTCTTTTGTTCAGAACAGGCTTTCTTCACTGAGTTGGCAGCTCTTTGGCTTGCAACTAAGGTGACCAGGCAGCTGGAGATGACATCTTAAGCTCGACCCGATTCAAAGCCTACAACCTAGAGGGTGACAAGCGTGCTGGCAAGCAACAAAAGCAGAAAGGCGGTTCAAAGACAAAGAAGCCCCAAAGCTGAGGCTGAAGACTAGAAACGAATGTCTTGTTGCTTCTACCTGAAGATCCCATTGTCCAACAAGATGCTCATGGAGCACCCTGAACAGCGACCTTAACAACGAGCTCTTACAAAGAAGTTGGGATCCTTGATTTGCTGGATCCACACCTATTTTGATACCGCCTGACGGTGCGGTCGGCTGGCAGATTCGTTTCACACCATTTTGCCAAAAAAGTGCAAGGGACGCCCAATGAGAGCATGCACGCGACAATTTTTCCTGGAAGTCTCTGCCATGGGCTGCGAAATGCGAAGATCGGACGTTAGATGTTGGGAGGCCTACAATGAATTCTGCAAGCCAAAAAATACCTCCAGATTTGGGGGGGCCTTCAGGCACTGTTCGGAACTGTTTTTGAACCGCAGCATATTCTCAGGAACCTCAGGAGCCTAAGAAGTCGAACTCAAACGAGGCCTGGCGATGTAGGCCATGTCTTGCACAGAGCCATTGCTGTTTAAATTTGTGGCACAAAGGAATTTCTGCATGATTTTACACCTGATACATAGTGAGAGTGCTTCGTGGAGACTCCCCGCATCCTTTGCTCGCAGGGTTCGGAGCGTGGGCTCTTGGTCTACCAGGCGCCTCGTGAACCCTCTCTAGGTTGACCAGGCTGAGCAGCTGGATCTGGATGTAACCCGCGATAGATCTTTGAGATGCGGAATATGTTCGAATTGTTCAAGCTTCATCAAGCTTCCAATCTTGGTGCCCTGCAAGGCTTTCCAAAGTCTTCGAACAGGCGTGCTGAACAAAAGGGACTTGACATCTTGTGCAGCAATGAATTTTAGTACAGTTTACAGTGCACTCAGTCAACCTCCAGATGGCATAGTCTTCCAGCCAAGCATAAACCACAGTAGAGCGACCATGAACTAACTTGATGCAAGCTCCCTGTTGCCTGCAGACAGTTCTCTGCTTGCAGATCAATCATTCTTTTCTTGCTCCCGATTTCGAACAGATCTCCAGTGATCTCCAATGTTTCATGATTCAGCTGCATCCTTCTCAGGGAGCTCCGAATGCTTGACCTCACAGGCCTGAAGAATAGAGTGATTCACAGAGCAGTGAGCATTGAACATCGCAGCATCGGGGGGGGTGGGGTAGGAGGCGAAAAGGCACCATTTGAGAGGGTGAACCCGGAGCTTGCCTGGGGAGAGCGCTCCAAAGCGAGGGTCAGAAAAGCAATGAACATGGGGTCTGGTGATGCGAGTGATGCACTGGACGCCGAGTAGTGCATCATTAGCATCATGAAGGGCTGTGAAGTCTATTTGGACAATGGGCATTGAGCACTGGAGTGGAGACAGGCACCCATCATCCTGGTCTCTACTATACTTGTACCGTTTCCTCGGTCGAGCGGATGCTTCTCGCGGCGTCCACGTGCACCGAACGTTGTTCCGGCTTGGTTGTGCAGCTAGATAGTACAGAATAGATTGATAGATCGATAGATCGTAGATAGATAGATGGATAGAGCTGGCTTGATGGATGGATAGTGATAGATAGATAGAAAGCAAGTTGTGCCTTGGAAGAAGCAGGGCAGAGTTGGCCGAAACCGTGTCCCAGAGTGGCTGGCGCAGGAGTTTATCAACCAACCCTGGAAGTCCCATACCAACTTGAACGTGGCTGACTGAAGCGTAAAACGCTTGGTTCAATAATGGCTGTGCAGTAACGGCTGCGCGGCTATGTTCAGTGGTGGCTCGACTTTTCTGATCAAAGTGGAACTGCTTGGATGTATTGGTTGGCAGCGACGAGTGCCTATCAGAAAAGGGCCCCGTGTAGATAGCAACTTGGTGGGGTGAAGAGATTGCTGTTTGAGGATGGGTCATAGTCACGGATCTGTGCAATATTTTTGGATGACGGTTGGTGACACCAATGCTGAGGCATATACAGGAGTTCCTGCCATCCTCCTAGTCATCCTTTCAGAGAAGTCTGGTTGGATGTATTGGGGCAAGTATAGTAGTTGGTTGGCAGCGACAAGTTGCTATCAGAAAAGGGGCCCGTGTAGATAGCAACTTCGTGTGGTGAAAAGATTAGCAAAAGACCCTCTCGTTTGGCGGCTGCTGGCTTTTGTTCCCCCCCCTTCTCAGGTATATAAATCTGTCAAGGTTCCTCCCCCAGCAAAGGCTGTATGGCTGTCATGTTATTGTCCAATCAAAGCTGGAGCGTTGTGTGGTAGGTGCACTTTTCTAAGAAGGCTCAAGTGTTGATTCTCCGAGGATGTTGATTGCTTTGGCAACCTGCTTCGTTACAGGAAATGCTTGCTTTTGCCAAGCAGACGGGCTTTGAAGGCCCAAAAGAATCGTGTGGAGTCAAGCGAGATATGTGCCCAAGTGGCTTTCCCGGTATTTGCGTTTTGGCCTGCAAAGATGGCCGAATTCGTGGGGTGAGAGAGATTCACAGATAGAAGTTCAATGGATCCTTTGATCATTAAAGATGTCCTGGGTGCCAACAATTTGGACCCGTCATGGTGCGCCAAAGGTTGGTGATTCCCCTATAAGCCTATAAAATTCCAAGTGACCCGCAACTTACAGTATATAGCTTACCTTCCAAGTGGCTTATCTTAGCTTGCTTGCTGTTGTTGATTTGGTTTCCTTGTCAGGGTCCGACGCCGACTGGGAAGAAGAGTTCCAATCCCTGTGTCAGGAGTTAGGCGCGCTATTGTACTTCTGTCCAATATCTCTCACCCCCAGAGTTGCCAAGGGGGGGCTGGACTTGTGCCAGGAATCAATGGAGTCGACCTGACTACATTTGGCCAGCTGGTGGATGATCGTTCCGAGCGAGGCCAGCAGATATCAGTGAAAGTGGAGATGGGAAGATAGGAAACACATGGAACGACAAGTGACAGTTTGTTCCTGTCCTTGGGGGAATATCCAAGTATATAACACTACGTTGTGAGAATCGTTTTTCTTTTAGCCCACATATAATATACCAACAGCAATTGGGAGCTTGTACCAATATGGTACCTTATTACTCAATTCCATTTTTCTCAAGGAGAGTTCTTGTCAATGACACAAGAGCTTAAGCTTGCACCCTCTCGTTTGATTGGCATTGACAGGCTGCTATTGCACCAAAGAAGATCTCCAAAGCATCATCAGGCAGTTGGATGCAGCTTGCTTTCACCAAACTCATCGTTTGACACAGCTAATTCTGTTGATTGCATATTGCTAGAGGAGGCTTCGCATCCTTACATCTACATACATACCATTGTATATAGTATATATAGTATATAATGAACAGTGAACATGTGATGTGAAGATTCCGCAACGAGTCGCCTTTTTAGGTCGAGGTCACCTCCGGAGACTCACGCAACCAACGGGGCGATCACAGCGTCCTCCTCAGTGAAGAATGGGAAGCCAACGGTTCCACAGATTTTTACTTGTCTGGTTAGGTCCTTCCACCGGAGTGTCACCTTTTTGGATGAGAAATCACTGATTTTAGGCATGGCAATCTCATTTGATGAAGGACTTTAACATATTTTTTGCCATACAAGGATTGCAGGTAGCCGAAGAGATTGGATAGGAAGACGACCGTCCCTCTTCAACGGTGAATGCAGTGTAGAAAGAGCCATAGCTGGAAAAGAAGACCGACATAAAGAAAGAAAGGGTTTGAAGCAGGAAGTCTATGGAAGTTGACCAAACAGCTGTCAAAGCTCTGGCAGATCTGAGGCACCAAAATCCGTCCTTCTACGACAGCAATACCGGATGCATCCCAGCATGACCGCCTGCCTTAAACATGGCTTCGTGGCTTCTCGAGTTGACACCTTCCAAACCACTGTGGCTGTGACGTTGCACCAGTTGTCTGTATTTCAATAGTGATATGACGATAGAATCTCTGTCACTGTGGGCAGGAATAGCTTCCCATCTAAGCAGTTCTATGATGGCAAGGTGCCGTGAGGGGTATTCAGGACAGATGCAACTGCAGGAGGAGAGCTTCATTCGGCCACAAATTGAAAGTGACTTCGAACATCAACGAATTTGTGACTTCTGAGATGCTTGCAGCTCCTTCAATCCCTCGTTCAATATGTGTTCAGTGTCTCGATCCTGGCAGGTCTTCAGTGACAAGTCGACGATTTTTAGACCTGCAGGATTACTTGCCATGTCCCGAGAAGGACAGAATAAGTCAAAAGATGAGAAGGATGGGAAAGCAGAGGCATGCAACAAAATTTGTCACGATGCCAGCTGCATGACGGGCTCTCTTGACCACTCTGCTTTCCTGGTGTGTGTGATTGAGATGAGATGGGATTGCCAAGAGCTATGAATCATGATGAATCATCATGCATTTGGTTGCTTGGGCTTGATCATCTTGATCACCATCCATGCCTCGCTGAAATAGTTGAAACTCGTCTTGAGAATTCTAGGAATACATGCAGGGCTTCGTATGCTGCCCTCTGCTTATGCTTAGGCACATGGCTCCGGTGCACGTTGCCCAGTGCTGTTTTGGAGCTCCCCTGCCTCATTCCAGGAAGAGGCGGAGCAACTAACTCGCTCTAGTGGTTAACACTTGTTTTGCTTTGCTTTTTGTGAACGAAACCAAGCCTAGGGCCTAGGGGTTCTTTTCCTGCGTTGACAAGTTCTTGGTCGTTATTGTCGAGGAAGTCCTCGGCTTGGCCTGCTCTTTTGTGTAAGTTCACCAATCGTAGCAGTGGTTTTGATGGTTTTCAAACAGGCTCTTTGGATGGTTTTTAGTACGTTTTTTTTGCAAATGATTAGGTTTATACAAAAAGGGAACTGTTGAGAAGTCGCGGAGGCTGTTCTGCTTGGGGCGTAGGCGTCGTGTAAGCATTTTGCGTAGGTGGGTGTTGAAAGATTTGCGTAGGCAGTCTTGCGTAGGCACCCTTTTCATGAAAGCCTGAATTTTCTTATTCAGACTTCTTTAAAAGTTGTTCAAGGGTCTTGGGGAAAGATAATGTTGGCTTGTAGTTGTTTAACTTGACACTTGCTTGCAAATTCCAGTGGGGAAGGAAAATGAAAATGAATTGTAACGACATGGCTACAGTGGATGTTTGAAGTTTGTTTGTCGAAGCTATGGGGGCACATTGGTTTTTGAGGTCAAAAGCTTGATCGTGCTTGGTCTGGCACACCGGCTCTTGAGCTACAACTGTGTGCACCCTGTTGGTACCATAATCAATGGACCTATTTTCGCGTAGGCCCCGCGTAGGCGCTCGCGGAAGCAGCGCGTAGGCAAGAAGCTATTGGCTGCTGCTACTGCTTGGCTGCTGCTTTGGCTGCTGCTTTTGCTGCTGCTTGGCTGCTGCTGCTGCTGCTGCCTCTTGTTTTCTGCTTGTTGTGCGCTGTTTATGTGCTGCTGCTTCCACAGTGTAATTGGATCGGCTTGATACAAAATCTATCTGGCCATCGGTAGCAAAGCTGTAAACGCCTTGTAAACAGGAACCTGATGTGACCCGGTCGCATCGGGCCACTACTTGCGGATTATATAGCTCTTTTCGAGTCACCTGATGTGACTAAAGTTGGTGACAGTACCCTGCGTAGGCATCCCGCGTAGGCACCTAACAAAGAGAACCTCTCGCGTAGGCATTTGCTTGAGAGGGGAGCCCAGGCGTAGGCACCCGCGTAGGTACAGACCCAGTGTATAAGCCCCACACCACAAAAAAACACACAACTCTAGTGATGTTCAGCCTTTGGGGGGATGAGGGTTGAGGTGCTCTTGCTTTGGAGAGTTTCTGATCGTGAGAGACGCTGTGGGTCAAAAATGCCGGGTACCCCAAAACAGCCTATTGGTAAAGGAAAAACGGACAGCTTAAGCTGCAAGCTTGACCCACTGCAACCATCCTGAAGGCACTCTGCTGGAAAGCGGCCTCAAATGGCAACCCCTAAATCGCAACATTTGGCTGACGACTTGTGATGTACAGGTGGAAAAACTTTGGTTTGAACAACATTTGGTTTATAGCAGACAAAAATACTTACACAACTTCATGTCCCAATCATTCTGCCCCATTTATGGCTCAAGAAACAGAGGGGGGATTGCTCGGTTTAGATCTTTGACGTGTGAATCATGGTGCAGATGATTATGATTGACCCAGCAGAGTACCAGCAGCGACGAAGAGAGCAGCTGCAGGAATTCTTG